CCTCTTCCAGAGATAGAGATAACCCACTCTGCCACACTACCAGGCAGAGCTACCCTTCTATCAGCTCTTTTTCTGAAGAAGACCCCGAAACAATAACTGCATTCTACTTGAGGCACATCTGGACTTTGACTGACCTCTCCCTCAGGCAGACCTGAACCACAACTGCCTCGGTGCTTCCCTCCAACATGCCATCCCCCCCTGAAAGGTGACTGGATGCTGGAGCAGCACTCCTATAGGCTCTAGGATGAAACAGCTGAGTGGCTGCTTTTCCATTCAGAGGTGGGATGATCTCCTGTCCCTCACAAGCACCATGCAAATTGCAAAAATGTGCTGGGTCTCTTGTTAAAGAGGACTGCTGGCAAAAAAACAACAACCCCAAAACATCCAGGCCTATCTGCTCCTGTTTCTTAACAGGCGGTTTGAGTTGCAGGAATTAGCGAGTACATATTTTCAGTCTATGATCACCTGCCAATGCCTGCAGATCAAGCTTCAATTAAAGGCAGAGAAGTAGGCACTGATTTTTTTAAAATTAAAACATTTATATTCTGCCTCATTTCCTGTGATACAAGATGCATAACAATGCAACAAGTATGAAAGGACACAAAAACAACAGTTCATCATTAGCAAGATTAACAATGTAGCCATATCTGTCAAAACAATTTACCTTCAACCAAATGCCATGAAATAAAACTGCTATAAATTCACACACACACCCCACTTTGGGAGGCCATTCCGTGGGACTGGGCATACCACAGAAATAGCCTTTGATTTAACTGTTGCCATATGGACCAGCTAGGAGAATGCGCCATAAAGAAGAGGTTGTAGCCCTGTACATGCCCCCCCCCACCTTGCTGACTCACTGCTCCCACTGAGCAGGCACAAACATGCTGGACCTGCCCCTTCCTCCACGACGGCAGAGAATGACTGAGCAAAGGAAGTGGCCCTCTTTGTGATCAGCAACATCCTGAAAGCAGCACTGATCATGGGTAGGGAGTATATATGCAGTCACTTCCTTTGCATAGCCACACTCTACAGAAGATTAGGCAATCATGCTTGTGACTGCTCCCCACGCAGTGAGACAATGAGGGAGGGGTCTATACCCAGCTAGTCCGATGAATGTAACACGCACAGAGGGGTATACTGGGAAGTGAACTTCAATTTGTACGAGGTTGTAAGGGTAATACCTAGGGCTGCCAGCCTCCAAGTGGAAGCAGGGAATCCCCCAATTTCATGGGCTTTTGCTTGCTGCTGGCCAGCTGGCCAGCGGGGAGGGAGCCCCACCCCAACTGCTACAATGTGACGTGATGTCCCCAGTGTGATGACATCACACAGAAGTGACGTCTTCATGCTGAGGACATCACGCAGTGACACTCTGATATTTTGGGCAAAACTCTATGGTAACCATAGAGTTTTGCCCAAAATACCAGAGCGTCACTCCCGGTGACATTCCCGGTGTGATGACCTCACTCCCATGTGATGCCATGATGTCAGGGACATCACGTACGGAGATGTCATTCTGCCCCTCCCCACTCCCGGAAAGCTCCCTCCAACCCCCTGCCAGCGAGAGTGCAGGACCTGGCAACCCTAGTAATAACCAGAACTTGTAACTGAGTCCAGAAGCAAATAGATAATCGGTGCAATTGAGGTAGCACTGGATATGTTCTGAGTAATAATGGCAAACTACTGCTGTTTGTTCCTTGCCTTAAAAACCCTACAGGGTCACTGTAACCCAGCTGCAACTTGACAGCACTTTCCTCCACCACTGTCATGGACCAGCATACCGACTCCTCTTTGTCAGATGACAAGGCCAAATACTCAGAGGAGCTGAGCACCTACCACCACCACAAAAAGAGGCACTTGGGATACTTACAGAAGGTGCAGGAAGAGCCCCAAGAATCTGCGTCAGCCTGCTGGGAAACAGCCTTGCCTTCCGGCTCACCCTCAGGCCCTGAACCCCTACCCCAAGCCTGCTGCTGCACCAGCGGTCTCTCCCCAACGGACCCTTCAAGCCTCTTAACACCCTGAACCACTTAAGCTCCATCATAGTCCACACTGCCATAATCAGCAACTGGTAGCCTGCTTCTGGAGAGAAGGGATCCGTATCTCCGCCTCCTTGCAGTAGTATACAAGGCCTCAGTCTACCTACAGCCTTTGCTGGAACATTTATGATACACTATTGGGTCCAGCTTCTGCCTTGAATCCTGTTTCTGGCAAGACTGCTACCAGATTTTAATCTTCTTCAGTGAGTCTTATGTGTTTTCTTTCTAAATATTCCTGCATTTTAAAGGACCCCTTAAAATACCAATATTCATTATTTCACTCTCATGGATGTGAGCTTGACTCAACAAGTTACACACAAATGCAAGCACCTGAAGGAATTCTGATAATCTCTTTTTTCTTTCATAAGAAAACTTGGTAGGAAGAACCACTCACTTGTGAACACCAGTTATTTATTTTGAAAAGATAGCAAATGAGATTTCCTTAAAAAGAAAGTTGCAATACCCAAGTAGAACCATGGAATTCAATACCACAGATCTTTTTTGAACATCCTGACTGACGCCTGAAACACATGAATAATACTTTGTAAAAGTGCCTCTGGATAATATGTGGGGTGTATTTCTTCCATTACTAAACAACTGTAATCCATTCTAGGATTAGTGGGCAAACCCAGAAGTAAAAGGGCATAACAATTGCCAATCCTAAATATAGTCCCTCATGGTAAACCAGGTTATAACTGCAGCAGCTAAATAAATCTTCATAATCATGAAATACACAAAGACAGTATCAGCTACAATGTGGTATGTGAATTATACAGTAAAAAGGATTCTTCTTCAAACCAGCTATTCAAAACATTTTCCAGAAAATTGTTTCTGGGACGGGCTCTGGTGTGAAGCCTCATCTCTATTTCAGTCATAAGACAGTCATCAAGTTTTGATTAGGTTAGGCGTGTTTCTTGGCCAAAAGAAACTGTGAAGGGTCCTTCTCTGAGGAAAGGAGGACATCTTGATGAGTGGTTCCCACCCTCCATTCAGGAAGGCAGGAACAAATTCTTGCTACTTCCTGTCTCTGCTGCGGGAATCACCCATCTCCTCAGTTCTGACAACTCCAAAAGCAGTTAACAACCTTCTAATCTATGAAAGAATCAACACACTTGAAGTATAACAAGGAAAAAGAAGAGTAACAG